GGCCCAAGTATCGCAAACTTTCGAGACGCGGAATAATTAAACGTTAAAAAGAATTTATATAGAAAGAATGTCTTTCAACACGTACATTTCGCGTTCCGCGATGCTCGGCGAAACGTTGCTTCTCAGAGCCGCGCTTTGTGGCTCCAATATTAATGGCGATTCGCAGCGTTGCACGCGGATCCAGAGGCTCAACATTTTACTTTGAAATTGCAAATAAGTGGAGAACGGTTCGGACGACGGCGGATATATCTGGTCCGTATCTTCCGGCCTATGTGTTGGTCTTTATAATGACGGCAACACTTTATGCGCTGCCGTACGGCAAAGGGTTAAATATGCGCAAAGCGAAATATACACGGCACGCTCACACGGGCACGGATAATGGGAAAACTACGAAGCGGAATTACCGAGCTGTCCCGTTACGTGGGCAAACTATCCACGGCTGTCTCCCTTCCTTTGATATCCGCCCTCCGGGCGAAATATTTCCCGCTTTTCCTCCCGTCGCGCCCTTTCGGATTCCCTTGTTTTCGCTTCGTTTATCGGACGATCGTCCGAATTGCGATATTAGTCCCGGATCCCGCAGGAGCCGAGACGAAAAGTCACGTCGGGATGGAGAAGCACAATGTAACTTCAGTAGGCATCAGAAATGAGGGAACTCCATTTAGGTTAATTGGCAAAATAAAAATGAATCATTTCCAAACTGATATCGCAATAATTTATACCGCGATACACCATTGTGTGGTGTAGCGTATATTAGTTTGACGTTACATTCGATTCAGTTTGCTGCTAATCTAACTTTAAGCCTCCACCACATGACGACAATAAGCATTGTAACGTGTGGAAATTTAGTTGGATGCGATAAGCTCCCCTTTTGGCCGGCGAATTTTGAGGACACGTTTCCCCTGTGTTTCCAGGATGCTCAGGAAATCCAGACGCGAAGCGATTATACGACGACCTCTTGTCGAATTACAACAAGCTGGTTCGTCCAGTGGTCAACGTCACAGACGCCCTCACCGTTAAAATAAAGCTCAAGCTTTCGCAGCTCATCGATGTGGTAAGCAACGATATCCTCGCGACCATATCGCTCGCACGACACTGTGAGGAGAAGCAAACGAATCATGGATTCGAACGTTAACGTCAGATGGATGCTGCTTTTTGTATAGTAATATTTTGGCACCAAGTTTCGAAGCGCCGCTGTTAAATCTGAAGGCGAATCTTAGCCGTGCACTTTATATTCCGTAATGATAAAAATTGTTACGGCAGACGCCGTTGACGCGTGCATATACATAGTCCGTTTTTTAATCATCTCGGGAGAGCATGAGATATATCGGCTCATAACGGAATGTTGCGATATATTTTCAGAGCTGGGGAGAGAGAGCGATGTATTCTCACAAAATTATTCTCTTGCAGAATTTGAAGAATCAGATCATGACGACGAACCTCTGGGTCGAGCAGGTAATATATCCTAAAAGATTTACGTAACGTAGAAATTAAAGAGGATATTTATTAAGTCGCGTAATGTAACGCTGAACGATATTGCCGTAACATTCGTAACAAATCGCGGCAATTTTCGATTTCGTAAGTCCGCCTCGAGGTCCGCTGAAACTTTCATTGTTGGCCGTCGTCCACGTGGAAAGTAAATGTTCGGCCTGTCGATGACACGTTTTAGCACGTGTCTACATGTGCGAGCGCGCGGATTTTCGTACGCAGAAACGAAGATCGGACAGGAGCTTCCGCCCGGAGAAGCCAGAAAATAACTCCGGTGAACCGTGCAACCCACTTTCAAATGCTGGATTACGTAAGATAGATAGATTCGCCCCATGTGCACGACCGTTTTTACGTTCTAGGATATATAGCGAGCACGAAATAAATTCGTGTAATAAATACGCGACGGAAAATCGGGCCATTAAAAAGCAGATACCTCATGACACGATTACAGGGTGTCGCTTGATAAATCTTGCAAGGGCTCTTGTCGTGGAACCGAATAACAAGAATAAATAAAACTATACTTATGCGTTTTATAACGCTAGAACAATACATTACGCGTCATTTAGCGTTATCCTTATTTTCACATTTTAGGGCAGGTTGTTCCGTTCTCTTGATAAGTTAGTTAACCCTTTGAAGCATGGTGGTAACTGGTAACCCACGTTACCACCTCAACTTCTTTACTTTTTCGCCATTTAATTTTTAGTTAACGCATTTAGATCGGGTTTTTTTGCATTTTGTGGGTATCTTAGCAATAAAAGAACATAAAAAAGTTGAGTAGTCTTTAATATTGATTGTAAAAATTTATTTATTGTAAAACAGCAATTTTTCGAAAAATTGCTGTTTTACATCACAAATCGAAAATTTCATTACTGATCAAGTTTTTTAAGATTGTTTTTTGAAAACTTTGCCCAAAGGGGTTTTCGGGGTCGCTCATTGCGAATCTGATGTCAGATTTTCAAAATTCAAAATAGTCGACTCAAAATAGCGGAAACAAAATAGATGAATTTTTTTAAGTTTTCAAGTTTTTCAGCATTTTCGTTTGATTGCGGTATTTAGGGACTCGTCACGTCCGCGTCGTTAGCTCTGGGTAATGCCAAGAATGAGTAAATTCTAAGAAATTATCAATTTTAATTTTGCATCCGCCATTTCGCGCGCGCTATTTTCTATATTCTATAAGAATTTCCAACTGAAATTTAGATTTCATGGGTCCTAATAATATCTGAATAATGTTTCTTAGCATAGTTGAATTAAAGTTGAATGATGTTATTCCTCGCCATTTTGATTTATGAAAATCTGATAACGGATTCGTAACCAGCGACCCCAGAAACCCTTGTGTACAAAGTTTCACAAAAAATGGTTCAATAGAAAAATGTATGCTTCAAAGGGTTAATAGTCAATTTTTTTTTTATATTACCTTTCATCTTCATCCATTCTTATCTACTCTCTCATTTTCTTATTCAATTTTACTTCGTCAGTATCATTCTCCTTCACTCGATTAGACGTTTAACTTTATCTCCTCTTTCTTTAACTCTTTGTTTGTTCCCTAACCTTC